CCTAAAAATTAACAGGGAAAATTGGGAAATTATATTTAGCAGAAAATGAAGCTCACTTTAGGACCATTAAGATATTTGCATGGTCATTTTCATGATTATTAAGCACATTTTCACAGCACAGTTCTCATTACTGTAATGCATCCACAATCGGATGTAGTTATGAGTTTGTAATTATCAGTATTTTTACTGATTGAATGGTAAAAATTTAATGAGTATCAATGATTTATTTAGTAACATTAGCATAAATACTTATTATTATTTTACTATTTAAATATCTCAGAATTAATATAATGTAAATTAAATCTAGCATAAATGGTCCTAAAACATGCTTCATTTTCTTTTAAAAAGAGAAAGTGTAATTTCTGGTTTTGCACAAACTCTTTTACTCTTCCACTTGACTGAAAGGCATGTGATCAGTCATGTCAGGAGCTATTCCTGAATGAAAATGGAACTACATCAGGCCGGTCTCAGGCTCTGGTTTCATACACTTCTCCCTGGAGGAAGCGTTGCAGCTCTGAGATGTGCAGGATTGCTGTTGGTGTGTAAAAGGACACCCGTGTCAGCTCTTGAAGGGTGGATCTGTGAGACCGAGCATTAATACGTGTCCGAATAAACATGGCTACAGTCCAGCTGGCCTCATGTTTATGAAAACGCTTGTGAAATTTGAGCCTTGTTAATGTTATCGTTAAAGTGAGTCTGATGGATCTAATGAACATCAGTGGTGAGAAATGATTCAGAGATCATTCAAAACTCTTCCTTTTGCAGATCATCCAGGACCGTGTGTTTCAACATAACACCCACAGCACTCTGATGTGGAATCGGTTGCCCGGAGGACTTTTCACTTTGCCCCAATACTCATCCTACCTAGGCGACTTCCCTTTCTTCTATGCTGTACTCGGTAAGCAGGCCACTGCTGTTTACTTTAACAACATGTTATTACGTCTGCGGTCAGTGTTTTATATATACAGTGGTGTGAATGAAATTGAATGTATTGATCATCTTCTTCACAGGTGTTAAACCACAGCAGAAGTTCACAGCCGTCATTCACGCTGTCACGCCTCTTGTATCTCAGTCTCAACCGATTTTCAAGTTGCTAGTGGCTGTGGCCAAATCACAGTACTGTGCCCAGGTCAGTGTTATTTTAGTATTATTTATGTGCTATTATAGTATTTTGAAATAGCTTTTGTTTTTATATTTTCAGTTTTCATTTAATTTTAGTTTAGGTTTTAGTCATTTTATTATGTGCCTTTGTCATTTTCATTAGTTTGGGGGTTTTTTGTAATATTTCTATTTAGCTTTAATTCATTTTAATTTAGTTTATTTTCCCTAATTCTAGTACTTCAACTTAATTTCTTTTTATTTCAGTTAGTTGCAAAATATCAGGCTTTCAGAAATATAGTCAAGCTCAAACACTTCAACTTCATTAATTCTAACTTTATTATTAAACAACTGCAAGAAAATGGAAACTATGGAAACAATAAAAACATCCACAAAGTAAAAAAAAACTACTGTGATAAAATAAACTACTATAATTACCATCTTTAAATATTGTGAGTTTATGATCTTGTTTATTAAGTTTGAATTCACTAACATTCAAAAGTAAGATTTTTGGGGGGGAAAAAGTACCGAAAGAAATTAAATTTATCAAAAGTGACAGTAAAATCTTTCATTCTTTTCAACATTGATAATAAGAAATGTTTCTTGAGCAGCAATTCAGCATATTAGAAGGATCATGTGACACTGAAGACTGGAGTAATGATGCTGAAAATTCAGCTTCGCATCACAGGAATAAATTACATTAAAAAAAAATATATTTAAATAGAATATAGTTATTATAAAGTATAATAATATTTCACAATATTACTGTTTTTACTGTATTTCTCATCAAATAAATGCAGCGTTGGTAATGTTTTCAAAAACATCAAAGAAACGTAACAACCCTAAACGTTTGTGTGATAGTGTATATGATATAAAAATGTAGTGAATAGTAGAAATGACCCTGGTACAGCCTGATTGACAGCATCTGTGTGCTTGTATCAGATCATTGTCCTGTGGAACTGTGACAAGCCTCTCCCTGCGAAGCACCGCTGGCCCGCCACCTCTGTTCCAGTCATCGTAATCGAGGGCGAGAGCAAGGTGAATCTCCACACCATGCTGTCTTTATATTCTCATCATATCAAATGAAGTGTCTGGTGTTACTTGCCTGCGATGACAAATGATGGATGGTGTATAGATTTGCTGCTGCCGTGGTTTTGCGCTCTGGCTTGAATGTTTTTCTTACTAAAGTTAGAGATATTGAGCATTTTCTGGAGGTTTCATGCATTGATTACATGTTTAGGTGATGAGCAGCCGATTTCTGCCCTATGAAAACATCAAAACAGATGCAGTCTTGAGTCTGGATGAAGACACTGTGCTCTCGACTACAGAGGTGAGCCAACAAATCAGAATGGTTCTAGGTTTTGAATTTTGCGTGCGTGTTGTATAAAACAAGTGCTCATGTTATTTCAGAAATTTGTACATTTGCTCATTAAAGTTTACAATATGTAACTTTTTATCCTTTAGTGGTTAAAGCATAAACACACATTACTTGGTAATGATCACCTTGATTATTGCCTCATCAGTGTGAATGTCACATGTAATAACATCAAAACTCAAGAGAACGAAAGAAGGATATTTGAAAAAACAAGTAAGATTTCATATGGAAGCTTGTTTCTGCCACGGAATAAAAAAAAAAAAATGTATTAAAAATTTTAACTCATCTCATAATGAGTGAGAAAAAAGTGAATCTCTCTTGAGTTTATCTATCAATTCTGTTTATTTGCTCTCACCGCGGAATATAAAATAAAACGTTAATTACAACTTTTTATCTCACAGTTCTGACTTTTTTCTTGCAATTCCAATTTTATATCTCACAATTCAGACATTTCTTCTCAGCATTGTGAAATAAAATGTCGTAATTACTTTTTATTTTTTTATTTTTTTTTATCCCTTGGCATAAGCAAGCTTCCATACTTATATGCTGTTGTTTTGACTTGCTGAAAATGATAGTTTTAAAAAAAAAAAAAAAAACGTCTCAAAAGTTTGGCAACACTGACATTAGACAAAGCAATTGTTATTCATATCAGATAACGATGAAAACTATTACTTAACAATAGGGATGCACCGATACCGATACTGCGCTCCTGTACTCGTACTTGTACTCTTAAAAATGCCCCGATACCAAAAGCCGGACAAACATTTACACTGTGTTTTTAAAAGAGAGTTATACATTTGTGAAACCAGGCCTCTAGACTCTTTTGCAGGACCAAACAATCCTGCCATTGGGTGCGAAGGTAGTGATGTGTTCCATTGAACTTCGTAAGCCTTCATGGCTGATCTCAGTAGTTAAAAAAAAAAAAAAAAAAAAACGTCTCAAAAGTTTGGCAACACTGACATTAGACAAAGCGATTGTTATTCATATCAGATAACGATTAAAACTATTACTTAACAATAGGGATGCACCGATACCGATACTGCGCTCCTGTACTCGTACTTGTACTCTTAAAAATGCCCCGATACCAAAAGCCGATACCAAACAGCGTGTGAATAGATCTATGTTCAGCATACAGCGAGTAGAATGGAGTTATTAGAGATTAAGGATGTCTATGAAGTACATGTAAGTAATTAATATAATGTTAAACATTCAATATTCACGCCTGTATAGCGGATGTGCCCGAGCTGATAAGCAGAGCGCGCTGAGTGGATTGAGCGCGCGGCTGCACAGATGCGCGAGCTTGTCGAGTGAATATCTCACAGACATCACTGGAAAGTTTGTAGTTTGGTCAGATATGTCAAAAGCAAGCAAGTAAAACAATGCACAAGTTACTAAAGTTATTTGACGGTAAGGAGAGCGAGAGCGAGAGAGCGCGACACTTCTGTTGCATGATCTTGATTGCTGTTCGCTCCATTAGCGCATGCATTTGGATTAAAACTAAATCGTAAATATAAAACAAACAAAAATTATAGGCGCATTCACTATAAACAGCATTTATTTTAAACGTCAAGCATACACAACTTTATTTAAAGCAGAAGTGAAACTAGCAGACTGGGTGAAATGCGATTACAGTATTGAGCTGCTGCAATGGAGCAGCTCTAATGTGCCATTAAAATGAACAGTGAAAGTAACAAAAGCTTATACAATAAATGTTAACAGGTATAATTAAGTGTGGAAATAACTGAAGGTAATATCTGTTTGCTAAATGAAGCCAACTAACATGATTCATATTCATATTCATATTATTATTTTGTTTCTGTAACAAACAGAAAAAAAAATTACAAATGCTGTGAAAATACAGGTATTGGTATCGACGAGTACCAAAAATGAAAGTATCGGTATCGGACTTGTTCTGAAAAAAGTGGTATCGGTGCATCCCTACTTAACAAGGCTATTTATTGGCAAATACACTAAAGTTGTAACTTTTAATTTGCATTGTTACAATGCAGTGCTATGCAAACTATGTTGATTAATGTTTTAACAAAATTTGTTACATTTTATTTTCAAACAAACAATGGAGCTTTAAATTGTATTTTCAGCAATAAATTGCTTATCAGTCACCCTGCTCTCTAAATATCAATATCTGCCGCATTGGTTGACCACTAACTTGAGTTTTACTCTTTTTATGCAGGACTGAATTCGTGAGTTAAATATTTCTGAAATCTTGTTTGTGTCTGAGCTTTTGGAAACAGTTTAAATTGTTCAACACAGTGACAAGTCTTAGGGTTTATGTGTGAATGGTTGAGTACTTATTAAAGAATTCTTGTTTCTGCAGGTGGATTTTGCCTTTACAGTTTGGCAGAGTTTCCCAGAGAGGATTGTGGGATACCCTGCACGGAGCCATTTTTGGGACTCTAACAAGGAGCGCTGGGGCTACACCTCCAAGTGGACCAATGACTACTCCATGGTGCTGACTGGAGCTGCTTTCTACCACAGGTAAGTTCCCTTCACAAGGAGGCACGAAGTCAGAACCTTCACCCTCTCTGCTCGTCTGTGGTGGAATGAGCTGCCAACATCCTGTACTGCTGAAACTGTCTAAGTACCCACATGTTCCCTAGGCGGGCAGCTCACTACTGTTAATGATTCATCACGGTTTTATAAAGGCATTTAACATGCTATCTTTTCTTACTCCAGGTATTATAACTACTTGTATACACACTACCTGCCCAGCAGCTTAAAGAGTATGGTTGACCAGCTCTCAAACTGTGAAGACATCCTCATGAACTTCCTGGTGTCTGCTGTCACTAAGATGCCTCCTATCAAGGTCACCCAAAAGAAGCAGTACAAGGAGACGATGATGGGACAGGTACAAACTGCATTAAATCAATGTAATTGTCGCCGTTCTCAGTTTCAGGTATTCACCTCGTATGTTCAGCTGTTTGAGTGCTAGTATTTCCTGCAGAGTTAAATCTGGAATTCTGGGGAAGGGTTGAGACACATGCAACACTATTTTCCCCTCCCAAAAATAGCTTATAATGACTTGAGGAAATACTTCAGCTTCCTCCAACAGCTTCTGCTATTCTCATATTAAGATAGTCTGTTATTTTGAATGTGTTCAGTGAATTCCCTCAGCACTTTCTGCAAATCCAAAATCTCACGAAACCTGTCAAGAACCAGTGTTATTTTAATATCAGTAGGTACTATTATAGTTTTTATAAATATTTTGAATTAATTTTTATATTTAAATATTCCATTTTAGTTTTAGTAATTGTGGTATGTGTTTTTTTAAATTATTATACTGATAACGAGTTCAAACAGATGCCATTAATACAGGTAACGAGTGGAGGACAGAGGAGCCTCTTAAAGAAGAAGTTACAGGTCTGTGAGAGCCAGAAATCTTGCTTGTTTGTAGGTGACCAAATACTTATTTTACCGAGGAATTTACCAATTAATTCTTTAAAAATCCTAAAATGTGATTTTCTGGATTTTTTTTCTCATTTTGTCTCTCATAGTTGAGGTATACCTATGATGAAAATTACAGGCCTCTCTCATCTTTTTAAGTGGGAGAACTTGCACAATTGGTGGCTGACTAAATACTTTTTTGCCCCACTGTATTTCACGTCAACATCAAAGGATTTTATTTTATATGTAAAATAATATGTAATTAAATATTTCTATGTAAAATAATTAAAACATTAAAATGTATTTTTAATAGCCAATAGCATATCTTGAATAGCCAATGTCTAAATATAATGTATTTTTGTTGTTGTTGTTGTTGATTAAAAGTCAGATTTAGGTAAAAAGCAAAGTACAAGCCATAATTCAGTTGTCACTCCACTTCTGAGTGCTTCATCGTGGTCTTAATTTGTTTATTTGGAAGTGACAAATGTGTTTTACATCTGGAAAGATTAGATGGTGACAACCACTTTTACAAATCAATCTAATAATAACAAATAGTTCATGCAGACGTCACTTGTCTAATGACAAACATGGAGGGACTAAAACAGGTGGTTTGCTAAAATTTTAAATGTTAACATCATTGTTCGCTAATAATTCTTTCTTTAAATTGATGTTCCAATCCATCCATTTAAATCTATTTATATTTTTTATATTTTCTCTAAAGGTTCAACTTCAACACCGTTCCATTTCAGAAAACGGCATCCAATAATCCCTATGTTGTTTCAGTGTGTACGTGGCTAGTATGTATTTCTAGAATCACTCGCTCGAAGCACACAGGATATAAGAGATATTTAACACTAGTTTTGCGTTTACTCTTGCAAATCAATGAAAGGTCTGAAAATGCTTGATTACGAGAGGACGTCATTCATTCAGAGCTTCAGGTCGAGTTTTGAGAACGTCTTCTATTGATTTTCTGTTAAGAAAGAACTATTAACTCACGATCACTCCTGTTTTTCTCAGATTGGGATGGATAGAGCTGGCTGTCTCAGTGGAGACTGATTCAAAAGTACTTTTGATCAAAATCCATACACTTTAACATGGTCTTAAGTCAGGGTAGATGCCATATTTAATGTTGCAGGAATGAAAACTCTGCTTTTTAGGGACGGACCTACATTTTGTTCAGTGGGCTGCACTGTTTTGTTGTCAATAAAAATACGTCTTTGAAAAAAAAAAAAAAACGTGGTATAGCACCATAAAACCGTACAACCTACAGTATTGAACCAACTGTTAATTAAATATGGCATATACACAGACTTAAGGTTTAATGTCCCTACAATTACAAAAAAAGTACCATATACAGTACTTTTGTTAGAGTATTTTCCCTATTAAAGACAATAGGGTTGAATATTATACATTGATGGTTTGGACCATGTGACGATAGAAATGTGTGAACTGGTAGTAATTTGTTTGACTGTTAATATATTTGCATGGCGATCATCTGATAGGACTGCTTTATTTTATATTTACAAAAAGAAAGAAACAAGGAGTAATACGGAACAGAATGTGACCCAAATAATGTAGGAAGAGGGAAAACATTTAGGAGGGTTGAGTTGTTTTGCATTAATGTAGAATTGTTCTGATGTGCATGAATTGGGCCAAAACTCTTGCAAATGTCTCTCCAAATAAGATATCGGTATCGGTATCGATATCGGTTATAGTCACATATATCAGCATTCAATCAGGCCTTTCTCTCTTTTTTTGTCTCAAGTAAATGTGCCTTTTCTCAAGACACTTCTGCGTTATTTTGTTAGCCTTCAGCATCACAATCTCCTCTATAGCGTTCTTCTTTCTGGTCTTGTTCCCTTGGTTTAGTTTTCTCTGTCAAACACTGGAGTTTTTCCCGATGGTTCAGTACTGACATTCCTGCCTGTTTTGTAGGAGACAGATCTCAGTCGCTCTTTCACTCGGCCTCATATTTATACGTGTATTTAGCACACTTGAGGATTCATGTATTTCTGTTTAGATTCTTTCATTCTTGGACTTTAATTTACATCATTACAAACAATAAACTGAAAATGGAATTTTTTTTAAGATATAAAAGTGATTTTGTAAGAAAAAGAAATAAATGATATTTGATACATTTGTATTTGTTGTTTTGTTTATATCAAGTGATATCAAACTGTCATATGTGACCCTGGAGCACAAACCAGTCTTAAGTCGCTGGGGTATATTTGTAGCAATAGCCAAAAATACATTGTATGGGTCAAAATTATAGATTTTTCTTTTATGCCAAAAATCATTAGGATATTAAGTAAAGAGCATGTTCCATGAAGATATTTTGTAAATTTCCTACCACCAAATACACAAAATAATGTTCTTTTTAGCAGCATCATTTAATGGAGATTTTGGGTATAAGATTTATAAAAATGACACCCTTCACCTTGAAATGGTTCTCAGACAGCTGTGGTTTGGCTGGAGTGGCTGCTGTAATGAAAGCTCAATTCTCTTTCAGTCGTTCTGGAGGGAATTACAGCGAGCCAAGCGAAGGCTTCTCATTTATAAATCATTGACAGCTTGGGCAAGGGAGACACTCATTGTGCTGGATTCTTCTTCTGTGGCTGCGTCGCGCTGAATCTCTGGAGCGCTTCATCCCCTCAAACACACATTATACTTACTGAATTTAACAACTGGCTTTCTTTCAGTTCCTGAGGCTGCTCGAGTTGAATTGGTGTTGCTCCTTAATACTGAAGTGGAGTTTGAATTGGAGTTTAATAGAGGATTTTTATTTAAAAAAATTACAAATTAAAATATTATTACAATTATTATTTTATTAAAATAAATGCATCGATAATGCTTATATACTCCCATGATTTTTAGAATTGTTTCTCAACAGATTCTCTGAGCTTAGTCCAATACTGTCAAAATAATTTGATGATAAAACAATGTCATTTTTCCATACAGCACAAAAGGTCACATTTATTTCCTACATAAATATATATAGGCAGAATAAATGTAATTACATCAATAAAATGTTTGATCATTAAATATAATGCGTTTAAATTAAATACATTTTTCTATGTCATTTTAAATATAATTAGGTAACACTTTACAATAACATTTGTTAATATTATTTAACTACATGAACGGATTCATATATATATATATATATACTGACACATATCATAGAGACAAATTCTAAAGCATTTATTAATCTTTGTTCATGTTAACTTCAACATTTACTAATACTTCATTAAAATATTTTTTTTTAAATCTGTTTTATCTGTATCTGTTTTGTATTGTATTATTTAATGGACCTGAAATAACAATGAACAGTTGTATTATTTATTAACTCGCGTTAATAAATATTGTAACAAATGTATTGCTCATTGTTAATGTTAATTAATGCATTAACTAATGCTAACTAATGAGACCTTATTGTAAAGTTTTACAATTATTTTTATTAACATTGTGTAATATTTCTGCAAATGGCCCGTATTTTGCATCTGTGTTATATATTTTGGGTAAATTACTTCATCCGTAGAATGAAAGTTTATAAATTAAATACACATTTCCATTTCAGATATTATTAATATCTTCCAATATTTTTGAAATAGGCCATGTGTTGTATTTAAAAAATATATATATATTTTTAATCACTAACAATATATGCAGTTCAGAAAATGAATTGGGATTTTAAAGTCATTCTCACACTGCCGACTGCATCCAGACTAAA